ATTGAGTTTATGGCTATTTGTAACATCATGTGGTCCACATGAATGCAATTTACAATTATTATTTTTTGCTGCAAACCAGTATTTTGTTTCCAGCTTCTGGTAAAAAATATCCATTGTGTACAATGGGTTCACATTGTGACTGTGGTGTTTGCTTAATGAGAGACTCAAAAAATGTCATTAAAATCAGGTCGGTCAAATGGGTGCCTCAACATGACTGTCATGACATACGGTGTAAATTCTGGGCTCCATTACAGTTATAAGCCGAAGACTACCAGCAGATTATATAGAGCCCCAACTGGAGCAGCTCCAGAGATATTAAGAGGCCTTCTTGTAACTCTATCTGTTCGGCAGAGATCTAGAAAGGCCTACTGAGGATAATGCTCCCACAAAAAATGGGTCATAGACTAGGAAGCAGAGCTTCTCTATGTTAGCTCCTAGATGTATACTTGGAAATACATTTTGGCATCTTATAAAACACTGAATTCAAGAATGTTTGGTTATACCACCAATCTGTGCGCACACATTAGATGCTGATTGTATAGCATAGCTTGGATTCCATAGCCAAATAAGTAAACATGTCTTTTATTTTGTACTCACATATCCATTTGCCTTTCCTCCTAGGAGTCTAAAGAAATAGTGGTTTTATTAATGATGTTGATTTAGACAGAGAGGAAGACTGACCTAAAGTCACTAGTGAGCTTTCATTATTGAGGGTAGACTTAAACTTACTTCTGCCTTGCCCTAAAACCTTAGCTGCTGTACATGTGCTAAAGCAGTTGACAGAACAGCTTTTTATTCCTTTTGATCTCATACCAATCTGGATGTGTGATTAGTCACGTGCTTACCAGAAAGAAATCTGTTAGAGAAAGATTTCCGTCCTTCATTCAGTACAATCATTTCCTACACTGACCCAGACTGAAAAACAAATCTTCCTAATTAAAGTGAAAGTACATTCCAGGGACTTCTGGTAATTCAATTTTCTCTTTTCCCATCTCATTAATAAATTTGTAGTGGCCCACATAATTATTGTTGATGCAAATCTTTCTTGGTTAGCAGAAACCAAGAAACCCTTGATGGGTCTGTTATGTACAAGAATCTACCAGTGCCATGAACTGAACTGCACAAACAAAAAAGTAACACAGAGTTTAGTTTTGCATGTGTGTTATTTGATACTACAATTTCATAATTGCCAGGAAGTTTGTTGCAGTCACAATCTGAATTAAGTACAAAATATCTACCTAAGGACAAAGCTGCTTTCATTAGCAGATTTATTGCATTTTAATCCCCTTACAGCAACTCTTCAAATATACAGTTCAGAGTCAAACTCAGTGGATAGAGACTTGCCAAAAGCTAAACTTAAATCCTATAGATGACCAAGGACTTAAAGCTAAATTCCCCAATGTTCTATTTTTAGCATTACAAAGCTATTGAGCATGTGGTAATCCATTGGAAAATTAAGATACAGCAACTTTTCAGAAATGCATTTAGTCATACTCAATGGTTTTCTCTTGTTTATTGTTTAATAATTTACTACCTGCTCTGTTTTGGGGAACAAGAGAGAAAAGTATTGCAGAAAGAAAAAATATTCTCTTTGTATTTTTAAAAATCTTCACCCCTATATTGTCTACAAATAAATGATAATGTAACGATTTTAATATTTGATGTCTTAATATATTTAATTATGATAACTGAACTAACACACTCACACTCACAAGTTGACCCTCTCACGTCATCCTGATGTATCACTTTGCATTTTACTGCTGAAAGTCAATTTGAGATCTACAGCAGGTTGGAAAATCTAGTAATGATGCTCTCTGCAGTCTCTAGAGAGTCCACATTATACACAGCATACATTATTTATAAAGTTGGATGATGCCTCCATTAGCCCTGCAAGATTACACACCAAAAGAAACCACTTATACTTGACAAGACAGGCTACACTGCATTACCAGCACAACTTAATTCAAGTTTACCTACTACCTAGACCGTTCTTGCCTTTTGTTTACACACATTAAGCAGGAATGCATGAGAAATTTATTTGGAAATAATCACT